GCCTGGAAGTCCAGAGGTGTTCATGCCATCGAGTATCCGATTTTAGTTCCAGGTACTCGACAACCAAACACCGCTGGGCAAAATGGGAATCCAAGATGGCCGCCGCCTCGTGGTCGGTAGCCGAACGACGGCCACCCTGTGAATCAATTAACAGCCGATAGATACATTGTTGCAATCGGTTAATGGGAGCCACATGACCCCCTGTGTGTGGACTCCCATTCGGTACTTTGTTAGTTTCAAGAACAGTGTTGAAAATCACTGTTAGTGAAACTACCATATGAATGCTAGCGGCTTTCGTGCCACTAGCATACGAATTCCCTCTTTCACATTTTACGCGAACACATTAAACACTATATATAAACCAGTCTCTCTAGGGCAACCCTCATATATAAAGAAAAAATAGTCTTAGGTGGCTAGGTTTGCCACAATTATTATTATCTACCTCACTTTGAGTGTATTTTTTCTTGTTTTATATTTTTATATTAATTACCTTTAAATAAAAGTACTTTTTTATTAGACCAACCATTGCTGCTATTCTGCTTGAACTACTGTATCCGTGGTGGGGATTGTATCACCCAAGCCCGAGGGATAGAGCAGTCCACATCGCCTCCATTAAATGTGCGTACATTTCTTACCACTTTAATTGTATTCTATGCCTTATGGTACACACTATTTTGGTTTTTCTTTTTCGTTTTCTCCTATATTTTTGGAGGGAAAACACCACCATCTATACTCAAAAGTAAGCACTACACTATAATATCCTAAGCCCATATCCGCAGAGCTGCTTATGTTTCCACCATTTGAGTGACCGCAACCACCAAGAACCACACTATATCCATAGGCGGGGATTGTTCTGCCCAGGCGGGGATTGTTATGCCTACAATTTTAGCTCCAGGAAATTGTGAGTGTGTTTCTTTTGTTTTATTTTATTTATTTGGACAGTGACATACTATACTATATTTATTTTTCTCCCTGCTTTTATATATAAATATTTTTAAGGACACTTTAGGCACTGCACAACTCCTTGTACTTTCATCTGTTTGTGGACGAGACGAGAGAGCCCGGCTTCGGTGTTTTAGCTGCAGTTTGGACTGTTTCAGTTATTGCTTAGCCCTGAATACCCTTTAGCTTTTTCGTATATTGTACTTTGCTAATATTTTAATAACATTGCAGAAGCATATATGCTGTGATGTTTAATTTAGTGTACATTGACCTAAATATGTTACTGGAATGTATTTATCTAATCATGATATAATTAATTTCAGTTTAAATTATCATAATACAACATAATGAATGTGGGCGTGTTTTGGTGGCGTGGTTTTAGGGGACCAAGGCAGCAAAATTTCTTGGGCCGGCCCTGGTATCTGTATGTGTCATTGTATCTGTATGCATTTGAATGTGTGTGTAATTGTATCTGTTTGCATGTGTGTGTCTGTATGTCTGTTTATGTGTGTCTGTATATCTGCATGTGGGGATTGTTCTGCCCAGGCGTTCAAGTTGGAGCTACAATTTTAGCTCCAGGAAATTGTGTGTGTTTCTTTTGTTTTATTCTATTTATTTGGACAGTGACATACTATACTATATTTTATACTATATATGTGTGTGTGTGTGTATCTGCGTGTGTCTCTGTGTATATATCTATATGTGTGTCAGTGATTGCATCTGTGTGTCTTTGTATCTGCATGTGTGTCAGTGTGTGTCTGTATCTGTCTGTGTACCTGCATGTGTAGCCAGGGCTGCCATCAGAAATTTTGGGGCCCCTGACACAGCTCAAGGTCAGGGCCCCCCGGTGCCTGCACCCGAGTCCGCCCAAAGTGCTGCCCCCTCCCCAGTCCGCCCACAGGAATGCAGTGTCTGCAGGGCCGGTGCAAGGATTTTTGCCGCCCTAGGCAAAAGTAAAGTTTGCCGCCCCCCCCATGTGAAATCACAATGCCCCACCCATATGATCTGCCATGTTAACTAACGCCAGTGCTGCAGTGCCGCAGTGCCGCCGTGTTTACATTAAAAGGCCTGCAGGGACAGGCTAGACACCAGAACCACTACATTAAGCTGTAGTGGTTCTGGGGACTATAGTGTCCCTTTAATGTGAGGTAAATTAGAGATTAGTGCACAAATAATATACTAGATTGCCTACTTACAACCAGATGAGGATGATGATGGGCTCTAGCTGCAGTCTGGCTCCACTGGTCTGGTGTAGAACAGGCTCTCTGGAGGCGTTTTGTAACTGTGGTCACAAAAATCAATGTTTTGGGATCAACGGGAAGCAGCTCCATTTTTTTGAGGGCCCTTTACACAGCGCAAGGTCTGGGTCCCAGGGTCCACCTTCATGTTCCACCAATGAGTTTGTTCACAGAGGGTGGAGTGTGTGTGGGGGGGATGTCCTGATGTTTGTAAGGAATGCATTCTGTGAATCTGTGTTTGTATGTGTAAGGGCTGCAAGGTGAGTTTGTGTATGTATGGGATGCAGTGTGTGCGTCTGTAAGGGATGCATTGAGTGTGTGTAAGGGGTGCATTGTGTGTTGCTGT